TGACAACGGTATCGCTACTAAAAAACTACCATCTCTGATCCCTGTCTATAACACCGATGGCACGCATAATGCCGGCGGAGCAATCACAGACTACGTCGAACTTTGGGTAGAAATTCAAGATCATATTGAACGACTTCCTTTCGCTGTTACCAATTTAGAAAAGACGCCCGTGTTCCTTGGTTATGAATGGCTCCAAATTCATAATCCATCTATTGATTGGCAAGAACAACAAATTCAGTTTGATCGTTGTTTGCTTACCTGCAAATACGCCACCAGGTTAATTGACATCGATGCCAATCAAGAAGAGCCCAGCGATCCGGAGGCTTGCCTTGAAGAAGGGGATAGAATCTTTATTCTAGACCACGAAACCTACTTCGCTATGAGAGCAGCGCGTATTCGCACTACAGCCACAGACCTAGCAATCAAGGAAAGTCTGAAACACGAGGCTAAGACCTTTGAAAATATGGTCCCAAGCCACTATCATGATTACTCAGACATGTTTAGCAAAGAAGATTTCGATTCTCTGCCACAAAGACGATCATGGGACCACGCTATCAAGCTAACACCGGGTTCACAACCAATCAGCTGCAAAGTCTATTCTATATCTGTTAATGAACAGAAGGAACTTGACAAATTCATAGAAGAGAACCTAAGAATCAGAAGAATCTGACCATCGAAGTCACCCTGGGCTTTGCCCTTTTTCTTCGTCAAAAAGAAGGACGGACGTCTCTGGCCTGTATAAAATTATCAAAAGCTGAATGAGCTAACGATCAAAAATTGATATCCGCTTCCCTTAATACAAGAGTTAGTTGACAAGCTGAAGCAAGCGAGATACTTCACGAAGTTAGATGTCCAATGGGGGTATAATAACATCTGCATCAAAGAAGGCAATGAAGAGAAAGCCGCCTTCCTTACCAATCGAGGGCTATTCGAGCCGTTAGTTATGTTCTTCGGTCTCACGAACTCCCCAGCTACCTTCCAAACCATGATGAATGACATATTCCGAGATCTCATCAGTCAAGAACACATAGTAGTCTACTTAGACGACATCATGATCTTCACTCAAGATCTAAAAGAACACCGCCAGATCATGCGGCAAGTTCTACAGATCTTGAGAGAACACAAACTTTATCTGAAACCAGAAAAGTGCAAGTTCAAGAAGACAGAAGTTGAATATCTCGGTATGATAGTGGAAAAAGGTGTTGTCCGCATGGACCCAGTCAAAATAGAAGGAGTAGTCAACTGGCCTCGGCCTGAGTGTAAACAAGACATTCAGGCGTTCCTCAGCTTTACCAACTTCTATCGAAGATTCATCAGGGATTACGGCAAAATAGCCAAGCCACTTAGCACCTTAACAAGCAATGCTACCTTTGAATGGACCGTCAAACAAGAAATTGCATTCACAAGTCTGAAGGACACCCTTTGCTCAGCACCGGTACTAGCTATACCCAACGATAATGACCTGTATCGAGTAGAATGTGACACCTCAGACTTTGCAATAGGGACAGAACTAGCCCAGAAGCAAGACGGCAAATGGAAGCCCATTGCTTATTTGTCCAAAGCTATGACAGCCGCCGAAAGACATTACAAAATCTACAATAAGGAACTTCTTGCAATTATGACTAGTCTTGATGAGTGGCACCAGTACCTCATGGGTGCCTGGCATCTGTTTAAAATATGGACCGATCACAAGAATCCAGAATACTTCTGGAAACCACAGAAGCTTAATCGGCGTCAGGCCCAATGGATAACCGAGTTAGCCGAGTACCACTACTCGCTACATCATAAACCCAGAAAAACCAATGGCAAAGCTGACGGACTGTCTCAACAAAAGAGACATAATGCAGGAAAGGAGAACAATCTGGATATCATGTTACTGAAACCAGAACATTTTTGTGCCTTGATATGTAGTACCGTATTTAGTTTAGAAGGGATCAGATTGACTAGGACTGGATTGCTGAAATTAAAAAATACAAAAAGAATCGGGATTCGTTAGTTACCGTGGCTCTACAGAACAAGGATAAAGACTGGAACGAAGATAGTACTGGGCTCGTGACATGGAAGAACCGTATCTACATACCGGTAAATAGGAAACTCCGTGAACAGGTCATCACTCACCATCATGATACTCCATTGGCTGGACACCCTGGTCAATACAAGACGCACAAAATGGTCATGCATAACTACTGGTGGCCTAGGATCCAAGAAGACATCTGGAAGTATATGGCTGGATGTGAGAAATGCCAGAAGACCAAGGTTCACACCACACAACCTACCAGACTTCTATTCCCCAATGAGATACCCACACGACCCTGGGAGGTGATTTCCGTAGATAAGATAGGCGTATTACCTGAGTTCTTTGGATACAATGCTATTCTTGTAGTCGTCTGCATGTACTCAAAACAGATAATCATGGTACCAAGTAACATTGAACTCAATGCCGAGGGATGGGCAAAAGTGCTTCATGATCATGTAGTTGCACATCACGAACTACCCCGAAAGATCATTAGTGATAGAGGCACTGAATTCAAAAACAAATTCATTTCTGAGTTATACCAATTGCTAGGAATCGAAGCCAACCTCTCAACCACGTATCACCTGCAGACGGATGGACAAACAGAGCGCATCAATGGCGAGATAGAATAGTATCTCTGACTATTCATCAACTACCGACAAGCAGATTGGGCTGAATGGCTGCCACTCGCAGCATTCTCGTACAATAACAAAGTCCACTCTTTTACTGGATATATCCCTTTCTTTGTCAACAAGGGATACCACCCTTATGAAGGAATCCAACTGGTACGGGAAGAATTGAGCGAGAATGTCCAACAATTTGTTGATCGAATGAGTCAAGTACGCGAAGATACTACTACAGCTATCAGACTAGCGCAGGAATCTATGAAGCGCTTCTACGATAGGAAAAGGAAGAATGAACCTGAGTACAAGGTCGGGGATAAAGTTTGGCTGGAAGAGATCAATATTCGAATGGATAGACCAATGAAGAAGCTCGATGATAAGCAATACGGGCCGTTCAAGGTTAAACGCCAAGTCGGCGCTTCAGCCTACAAGTTAGAACTTCCGCATCAATGGAAACAACATTCTGTTTTCAATGAAAGCTTGCCTTAGTCCATTCAAAGAACCTACGTACCCCTCACAGCAACAAAAGCCTGAGATCCCTAATCTTGTAAATGGTGAAGAAGAATGGGAAGTTGAAGAAATTCTTAACTCTCAGCGTGATTGAAATGGAAACCTTGAGTATTAGATTCTCTGGAAGAACAGTCCCCACAGTGATCGCCATTCCTGGGAATCATGAGCAAACTTGACCAATTGTCAAGAACTCCTCCAAGAATTCCATGCCAGACATCCTGACCTGAAAGCATTAAGATACCGGCATAAAGTCACAAGATTGTTGGTACCGGCATCGCAATGCGTGCCCCTTACGGGACCTATGCGCGAATCGCACCACGAAGTGGACTAGCGGTCAAAGGGATTGACATTGGCACTGGAGTCGTAGATCGAGATTACACTGGGGAAGTATGCATGGTGATGATTAATACCACCAATCAACCATTCCAGGTATGCACCGGAGATCGGATCACTCAAGTTGTTTTGGAACGCATTGCATCATGCGATATCGAGGAGGTGTTGAGTTTGACAGAAACTCAGCGTGGAACAGAAGGCTTTGGGTCCACTGGTAAATAATTGTGAGGACACGGTTCTAAAGGGGGGGGGGGGGTAATGTCATGAATATTACATACTCTGGATGGTTCTCCCAGATTCCACAGTATTCCTTTACTTTCTATATGCCTCCGTATATTTGTAGTATATTCTAGGTATTGAGTCTGACATGTATATAAGGAGCTTGTACTGCTCAATAACAAGCCAGACTCAAGCTGGTCTTTACTCACTCACTCTTCTCTCGTCTGTCTCCTCAGCTGTGTCATAGCTCAGTCCAGTTGGATTGTTAGTTGCTGACAACTAGTACAAATCCTCACAGCTGGTTCTCGTGGACGGCT